GCCAGCTCTGAGAGGCCTCAGACTTTCTTCTATTAACCTCAGGAACAAAGCAGAGGATTTAACCCAGCTTCACCCACGAGGCACAGCAAGACAGAATGGGGACAATCCCTGGATAACCCCCGCTGTTGTCCCCGAACTTAAACGCTCCCAGGCCCAGACTGGTCCAGGTGCTAGAAGAAACCATCCTGCGAGCGGTGGTCCTTTCAGGGCATGCACGCACTGGGCACTTCGGAGGCCAGGAAATGAACAGCGACTTGGATATCTGGAGCTATATAGTTTGTGGCTAAATCTGAACTCTTCCTAAAGGGAGTTCTCATAAGGACAAAGATGGGAGCTGGCATGGCACGCTCTCCTTCCTGGCAGCCATCTCAAGGACCCGGACCAAAGCAACTCAAAGCACTGGTAGCCCCCTCCATCAATAGGAATAACTCCTGAGTCTATCCACCCCCTCCATCTCCTTGCTTTATTTCTGGGGGGTGGGTCTTCCCCTTGCACCCAGAGGTGCAGCTGTTAAATCAGGGGTGGGTTTGGCTAACAGCTCTGTCCGGCCCCAGCGTCCAGCTCTATAGAGGGGGACTAGTCCCAGGTGAGTACTAGTAGCCTTCCTGTGCTGCTCTGCACATACTGCCTCTATGACCCACCCTTCATCCTGCCCTGGGCAGGGCTGGACCAGATGGCTTCGCAAGGTCCCTTCCAGCCCAACTTTCCAATGGCCCTAGGATCTCCTCCGCGGGCACAGAGCTGCTACAGCAGGACCTGTGTATATACACATACACATGCACAGACGTGGTCTCTAAAAATACCAGGGGATGAACATTACACTGAGCTGAGATCTGGGACTATATTTAGCCTTAGACTAGTGCCAAATTGCTGCTTGACCGAAGCACCGTTGACATGCGCTGTCTCCTGGGCCAGGGGCTCGGGAAACCGGGACCCCGGCCGGCCATCTGTTTTGTTCCTCCCCTCGCTTCCAGTCCAAGCGAGCGCTGGCCTCCTTTTTCCAGGGGAAACCAGTGCTCTGGGCTGTCTTGTTAGCTGGGAGTCCCCCTTTCCAAATGGGCCATATTCAGCTGGCTCTCCGGCGCGACGCTGGGTGCAGCTGGCGGCAGAGTCCGCTTCGCTGTGTCTAGCTCTCGGCCCCTTGCAGGCGCTGCCAGCCCGCGACGGGCACCTGGCAGCTGTCTTGGTGCTATCGGGCTATGGCTCGGCGTCAGCTGCTGCCCTGTGGTTTCAGCAGGCGGGTTCCCACCGGAGGCAGCTCTGCTTGGACCGTCCCTCTCCCTCCTGCAGCCCGTCTCCCTCCTCTTCTGCCCTTCTATGGGTAACGTTCCTCGAGGAAGGAGCGAGCCAGGCCCCTCGTACATCGAGCACAAAAGGGATCCTTTGTTCTGGCTTCTGGACCTGCAGTTCGCTCTGGCTCTCGGTTCTCCGCGGCCGAAATCCAGGCCTGGACTTCGCGCGTGTGGAAGGGAGCAGGGACCGTTGCATCTGGATCTCCCCATTTTGGGGTGGGCTGGGAAAGCTCCCAGAACCGCGAGAAGGCTGGGCCCGGGCTCTCCCTTGCATCAGCCGCCGCGGGCGCTCTCCCTGCATCAGGAAATCCAAAACACGAGCGTTTAAAAGCAAATGTGGGTCAAAATGTGTTTTCTTTTGACTCCTGCCTGCCAGGGAATGCTATTAACTCTTCCCTTCCCCCTTCCTGCCAGTGCCTAATCCTATAGGAACAGCTTCGAGGTGGTTGTGCCCATGGGGGTGCGTGTGTGTGGACCAGAAGAGGAAGGGGCAGGTTGGCCCCAAAGCGGGGATCTGTTGTTGTGTGAATCCAACAGATCCCAGCTGTTGTAAATCGCGGTGGCTCCGTTGGCCTGGGTGGAGCAGCCCGGGCGCTGCCTGGTTTCGTGCGTCCTGTTCTGTGTGAACTAGGTCCACGCTGCCCTGTAAAGCGCTGTAAGGAAAGAGAAACCGAGGCAGGGAAG